GATGGTCAGTTTACCCGCACAATGTGTCGTTCTTAGTTCTTTTTTATTTAGGCTAGGGAATGACCCCAAAATTTACCTAGCAATAATTTAAAGAAACCAAAATAATTTTTACAACCAGTTCTTCATTTATTGAATTTCCCACGATTTCCTTCCGGCAAAAACATCAAGTTTCAGGTTTAGTGAAAAAAACAATCAATTTGCAAAATAATAAAAGGGCTGTATCTGCGCACAAATATACATAGCGGATCATAAAACTGGGGGGTGGAGCAGCCAGGGGGCGGTGTGGGGAAGGGTAGTTTTTTAGAGCACAGGCGGTTCTAGTTGTAAAGGGAAAAACTCCCCCAATGGTTTTCACCAATCCCAACCCTCCTAATCTTGGGGGGGGGACTCAGAAGGGTTATTGTTTGGAGGGATAAAACACGGGCCAACAATTTAAAAATACAATGTTTATGAGCTTTGCAGGGGAAAAAAAAAAAAAAAACACATTTTGCATGACCCAAAATTCAAGGTTCTCAAAAGATTCAGTTATGGTTACTCGGTTAAATTTTGCAAGTTGGCAATCTGATCAACGACTCTCCAATATTTATTTCAGGGGGCCGATCTCTTTTTTTTTACTATCTCAGGCCCCAGTTTTCAGTTTCACCCAGGTTGTGTTTGAGGTTCCAACCAATTGGAAGAAAAACCAAACTTGATTCCAAAATAAATAAATATTTGGGGGGGGGCCAGGTCCAGAGATTGGAGGGGGTCACATTATCTATTTTTTATAAGATGGACCCATCGCATAGAAGGGGGGGACAAAAAAAAAAAACTGGAAGGATTGGTTTGAAAATCGGCAAGGCTAGGGGTCAATTTTCCCTTGACCAGGGGGGGGGGGAAAAAAACATTCCACCTGTTTTACCAATCAGGATTTTTTAACTGATTGAAAGGGCAAGGAAGCCACTGGCAGGGGAAGTTCAGGCTCCAGGTTTATGCAGTATTAGAAAAAAGGGCTTTAAAGCCTGGGGGGCAAGTGGGGAGCCGCTGTGCAAGGATAAAAAACACCCACAGTGTTATTCTGGATGGGAAATTCAGGGGGGGGGGGAAATTTTACTTTATTGATAATGAGGGCCCGGCCTCTGGCCCACCAGGTCGGGCTCTTCTCCTGGCAGTTTCCGCGGGTGACGGGGGAAAAGCACTTTGGATCTTTGACAACCTCTTTGTCCATTTGATTAGTTCATAAAATTTGTTCTCATTTTTATATGGCGATTTATTGTTAATTTGCTTTCTTTTGCCTTTTGTAATGTAATAAAAATTAATAATAAATAGAATTTGATGATGAATTGAAAAAAGGGGGCAGAAATGAGCCGGGGGGGGGGGGGACCCAGCGCGCACACAGGGACCAATTGAGTTAGGGCGGGGCATTTCGAGGGGGTTCATGTGGGGGTGTTATTGATTTCTGGGGGGAACTTTCGTTACAAAAAAAAAAAAAACAAACAAAAAAACAACTTTGCCTTGCCCCGTTTCCGTGGAGGCACTATTGGGTTTTTCGTTCAAGGAATATTGAAGGAATATTTAGAGGTTGGTTCTCCCCGATGGTCACTTTTCTACTCAAAAATTTGAGGGGGGGGGACCAATCTCTACACCGGGTCCAGGGACTGTATCTTCATTCCAATGTTTTTGAAGCAACTGTCAAGGCTTCATACCGTTTTGTTTCCTTTGGTCAGCTCTATTTCATTTTTATTCGTTTTTTACTTCCTCCTTTCCTCTCCCAAAAAATAATTTAATAAAACAAAGTCCCCTTTAGGGATGTCTAATGGACAAAAAATTATTGGATTTTTGAACATTTTTATTTTAAGGGCGCGACGGGAAAACAACCCGGGGGGAAAAAGGGTTACTATTGGACCCAAAAAATCAACCAGTCGGGCCCCTTGGGCGGGCCCCTCAAGTATTCTCTTTATGGGGCAGCTGAAAGGGGGGGGTGTGGTTTAGGAATAAGTTAAAATGGGCGTTGTTAAAATCCTTGGTTTTCTTTCTTTTTTTTCCAAAAAAAAATACCAACAAAAAAAAAAAAAAAAAAAAAAAAAAAAACCCCACCCCAAAAAATATAAAAACAAACAAAGTACCCAGGTAAAAAGTCATTTTAAAATTTTCAAAAACTTTTGGGCGTTTTTGGTTCTTTGTAATTAACAACTTAATTAGGATAAATTAAAGGTGGACAGGTGACCGGGTTCAGTTGGGGGGAAACGCTTTAGGGGGGGCGCTCTTTAGTGGTTAAAAGGGGGGCCATTGTTTAAAACATAACGTGGACCACCATGAGGGCAGTGGTGTGGCTTTCTGGTTCCTCTGAAGGATTTTGGAAGGTGGGGAATTGTTTTTAAAAACAATATTTTGGGGGCATCTTTTTGCTATTTTTTTTCTGAGAACTACAATGCAACAATAATAAATTTCTTTTCCAGTTCTTGGTTTGATTTCCATCTTGAAAATGGGGGTTATTTACCTTATCAAAAACCCGGCAGTGTTTTAAAAAAAGTCTTTTGGCTAAAACCATTGATTAGGTTTTTTCCTTTAGGGGATTGATTGAAAAATGGCCCTGTGCTTTTGCCTTCCTCAAGGTTCCATGGGTTCAAAGGATTTCCATCATAATTTGTTGTTTAAGGCCTTACAATTTCAAAAATCAAACCTTTTTCTGCAAGGGGCTTTTCCTCAATGTAGGAGAAAGTTTGAAAAATTTTTTTATTTTTCCTGTTTATAGGGCCTTGCCGTATTTTAATGGAAGGGGGGGACATTCATTTCTCTAACTGTATTTTGGGTTTGGGCAAAACACTTCTGGATAGTTTGATTCAGTCTTTTTGGATGGGTCACCACCTGGGGACTACTTCTTTGGAAGTGGGGAGATTTTAAAAGGGTTTCTTTAGAAATAAAAAAAAAAAAAAAAAAAAAAAAAGTTTAACTCTTCTTAGTTCCTTAACCAAAATTTATTTGTTTGGGGCCACACCTTGTTCATAAAAATCCAATTTATTTGGGAAATCCTTTTTTCTTGCCCCCCAATATTAAAAGTACTTTCCAAGTGATTTTTCTGTACTTGCCTCCTTCTAATTTTAAATTACTGTGTGATTAAGAATATTTCATTATCCCCTTTTATCCCACTTATCTTTATTGTTTACAGATGCCATTGTTTTTCTTTAACCCTCTCGAATTACAAAAGTCCCCTTGGGTTACTCCCAATATTCAAATGTTAAAAAAAAAAATTCCAGCAAATTTGGGTGCGTACTCTGTAGAGGGCGGTTTCCCAGGGGAATCGTGGTATATCTCCCCGTTTCAACCACAAAAAAGTGGTGGGGGGAAATGTACGCACGAATTCGTGGACCCGTCCTGACGGGACCAAGTTAAACTGCGTTCACTGTTGGGTGGGGCGACCGTTTTTGTGCCAATTGGGGGTCACTTTCAAAAACAGGGGAAAAACATTCAATTCACCTTTCATTCACACCAAGGGGAGGAAAAAAAAAATTAAAAAAAAGTGGAAGAAAAAAAAGTTTTAGAACCCCAGACTGTACCCCTGTTCTCCTTTCCCTATTGTCACTTAATTAAAAAAAAACACACCAACCCCCCAGTTTTTTCCTTTAAAAATAATGAGGAATAACAACAACAGTTGGGGGTCTCCTTAAAAAAATGTTCATTAAAAAAATTTCACTTAAAGACTTTTCCTCACACCACAACGTTTTTCTTTCTTAGGTTAATATTTTCCCAAAAATTCACTGAGATAAAAACAAACCACAGGGGTTTCTCCTTTTTCTTAACGTACTTAGACTTAGGAATACTATAATACCATTAAAAATTTTTTTAACAAAATACTTGCAAAATTTTCCTTCAAAATATTTTACCCACTTGGATTGTTTGTTTTGTTTTTATTTTTTATCTTTTTTAGGTTGTCTACGGTTTTAGGGTGAAAGTTGGGTAAGGGAAAAGAATTAAAAAATTCAGGTTGGTAAAAAACAAATTCTTTTACGTTTTTTATACTTTGGCGGCCAAAAAATTAATTAATCTTTTCTCTGGACCGGGTTCTAGTGGGTTCCTGTCGAAAAAAAATTTCCTTGTTCGAGGGCGGACCCCCGCCAAGTTTTTCTTGCAGTAAATTTGTCCGGGAATTCCCAAGCCCCAGGGAAAAGCTTTTGCAGAGAGGCCGCCAAAACACAAAAAAAAACACAAAAAGCCACTTCGTTCTGCAGGTCCTTTTTAGTTTTCCAACAAGGAGGAACCCAAAAAAAAAAACCAAAATGTAAAAACAGTAATAGGAAAAATGGGGGGACCCAAGAATTTTTAACCAAAAAAAACTTGATTTTGTTCCAAAAAAAAAAAGTTAAATTGAAGATTTTGCAAAAGGGCTATATTAAAAGATAAAAAACGGGTCCGCGAAACAAAACCAACAAGGTCCTCGGCTTTTGCGTTTCAGGATAGCGAGGTGGGGGGCACGGGTACGGTTTCACTCCACTTGGGCTTTCCTTGTCAAGACGAAAAGCAAAAAAGTTCTCTTCGTGAACCCCACCCTCCTTTGGGGAACATTTAAACATTTATTTACCTTTTACCCACCAAAGGGCTCTTTTTGGACCATCCCCACGATTCGTGGACTCTATGGGGGAACTCCTGGCCAGCTTGCCAAAATGCCTTTGCACCTGGGCTCTGGCTAGTTTAGCAAAAAAGTTGTCCTTCAATCTTGTCCCCCTCCCCATTCTCACACAGGACTAAAAAACCTTGAAAAACTCATGCTCTTTGAGGGGATTTACCACAAAAAGAAAACAAGTTTGCTAATTTTGGGGGCATTAGAAAAAAAACCCAAAAATATACTTAAAACTGGTTTTTTTAGTTTTTAAAAAAACTGGTTTGCAAGGGGGGGAGTTTAATTATTCCAAAGACAAAAAAACACCCTCTTGGCCAGTTTAAGGATAGGCTCTTGGGGGAAAGGAGGGGCTGGCCGAAGGTTTTTTGTTATGATTCTTTTCCTGCTTTGCAGGTTGGTGGGGGAAATGGGGGCGGGGCCCCCCTTTTGGGAGGAGGGGTGGCCCTCCATCCCTATTTCTTTCTATGGCTCGTATGGGAAACCTTCCGGGTCTCTTTTAACCCCGAATAGGTTTGGCGGTATGAACAGGCCACGTGGGGGTCACGGAGGATTGCTCAATCCACCCGGGGAGGTTCATTGGCCCTTTGATGGGGGGGGAGTACATTCAGTTTCTTTAGGGGGCTTTTTCGCTAATGTTATGCATTAGCGAAGCCTAAAAGGGGGGCGAAAGACAAAAAAACAATGGGGAAAAAACATAGAAACCCCCAGGTTTACACTAATGTAAAAATGGTTTTTCTATTTGAATTATGTTTTTGCGGTAGGCCCTTTAGCTTTCGAGGGGGGCCCAGCCAGGGCCTGCCCTTCTCTTAATTCGGGTGAAGTTCGAAAAAGCGGAGAAGAAAGCTGTTGTGGCATTGGGCCGTTTTATAGGGGAAGCTGGCCTACCGGAGGGGGGGACGTTTTGAAAGGGTGCCTTTGGGAAGGGTTGGGAAATGTTTGATCTTTCTCAGGCGGGGAAAGCGGATTGCTTTCCGAGGTGGGATATTTGGCTCTAGCGAAAAAAAGAAAAAAAAAGGGGGGGATTCGCAAACATATTAATAGGAACCTTAGTTACATTTAGGGTAACTGGAGTTTCCTACTGGATTCCAGTCATTGGGGGGGGGGGGGGGGGGACACGGGCTGGTGAGATTGCCTTCTTCCTAACGGGTTCTTTCGCCCCCATTTTTTGGGGCCCCCTCCTTAGCGTTTTTTCTAATGTGAGGAAGTGAAAAAAAGGTGAAAAAAACTAAGAAAAAGCCGTTTTTTTTTTAAAAAAAAACATAAATTAATTCTGAAAAAACATGTCAAAAAAAATGAACACCCGGGAAATATTTTTAACAAAAATCAACAATAGTGGTTCTATATAATTTCTGGAATAGCAAGGGCAAAACCTTTTAAAAAAGTTTCTAGTACTAACTTTAATTTTTAATTCATCTTTCCACCAGGTTAGGGAAAAAAACTGGTGAGTACCCAAAGGGCGGGAAACCATTTATTGTTTTGAAAAGGGCATAAGGCCCACTAACGCTGTGCCCTTGCAGGGATTTTAACGGGGGGACATTAAACTTTTAAGGGTAAAAGAGATATCTTTTTGCAAATAGAAACATTATCCGGAAAAGTGCACCCTCTAAAAATTACCACATTTTTTATTCAATAAAAACTTAATGGAGATAAGTTTTGATTCAAATAATTCACCCAAACATTCACTGCTTGGTTTTTCTCAAAAGGGGCCTGGCAGCAGGGGGGCAGGCGCACAACAGCAGGGCTAACAGCAAGGGCAACCTCCCAAAAGGGCGTCCACCAGAACTTCTCCAGCCACGGGCCTGAGGCTCTATTCTCCCGGGGGAGTCAGTCCCAACACAGGGGGACAGGCCGCCTCCTACCTTTTCTCCCCACTGGTCCCGGGACCACTTTGGGACAAGCCTCCTGGGGACCGGGGTTGGCTCCATGGGCCTGCCAAACCCGCCGACGTGGGTTCTTTGCGGCCGGTGGAGAATAAAGGGGAGGTGAAAAACAACCGGGGGGGCCGGGGGGGGGGACGGAACACCGCCCAAACGGGGAAGATTTTGGGTCCGTTAACCGGGGGTTACAACAAGCCATTGGGGCTTCCTCGTGAACGGTAAAAAGGGGACCCAGCCTGGTGGGGGGGGAAATGTCCCTATTCAGACGGGATTTGGGGGGTTCCAACGGGAATTTGGGCATTGGCAGTGAAGCTTGTCTATGGGAAGGGCATTCATCTACAGCTTAGAAAAAAACATTTCAATGTTGGGGGGCGAAATGGATTGTGTGTGAACCAATCAAGTGCTGAAAATGTTTCTATTCTGTGGAAATTCCATTTTCAAATCAAAATACAAAAAATTTTCATGGAAAAAAACTTTTGTATTTGTTATTCTTGAGCCATTTTCGTTGTCGTTGTGTATTTTTTTTGCGTAAAAAAATCTTTGGGATAACCCGCAAAGTGTTGGAAGCTGGTTTAGGATTAAGTTTCTGTGCTGTCTAAAAGCTAAACAATGGCTTGGCCTTCCAATAATGAGTGCTAGCTATTTTTACCTGTTTCTTTTATTGGTTTTGCTTAAGCCCCAGGTTTGGGTCATGGGGCTCGGTGGGTAAAATCCTTAGGGCGGTATTTCCCCCTTCCACAACACCCCACCTTTTGTAGATACACCCACTGGTGTGGGGCTGATTTACTACGGGTGGGGGGACCTGTTTCATTTTCTTAACCGGGCCTTGTAGGAGGGAAAGGCTGGTAAAACAATTGGCTCTCTCGCGCCAAAAGATGGCCAATGGCTGGTTCAAATGGCTTTTTTAAAATTCACAAAACATTAAAATAAAGGGAATTTACAAAAAAGTTGTAAAGCGGGTTACGATGTTACAAAATGCATTTAAAAAAAAAGCCAAACATGTTGCGAAAAAAAAGTTGAAAAACCGCCCATACATGCAGGGCTATTTTATTTCTCTCAATTTCATTATAAAAAAACAAAATAAAAAAAATATTCAGCTTAAAGGGGGGCCCAATAAGGGAAATATAACATTTTCTATTAATTGATGTATTTTGTTAAGATCAATAATTTTTTTAACCAATTTTAACTATAAATACATATAGAATTATATTAAGACATTAATTCAAATGGTCAGGGGAATTAGATAGTTGGATACTGTAAACAGGTATTTGTGTCAATTTAGTTTTGAGGTTAAAAAAATAAGTCTTAAATTTAAAAACGGTACCCACTTTTTTTCGATTTTACTTTGTTTAAGGAAAAATTAAAAAATGTTAAAAACAAAAATCAGGGGGGGGGTACCAATGGGAGGGGGGGGACAGTATGCTGTACTACCCAATTAATTTAAAAAATACATTATTTCTTATGCCACAGTTGTCTGAGTTCCATTTTTCCAATTATTTTGGAAAAATAGTGCTGAGTGAGGGGGAGATGGTTTTCCTCCCTCCTTTTTCAGTTTTTTGGGTTTTCCTTTTGTACATGTTTTTAGTGCTGCACCTAGGAGGGGGGGGGACCTGGGGGAAAAATAAAACTTAACACAGGGGGGGGGGAGGAACATGGGGGAGAGTATTATGGCAAAAAAAAAACTCAAATCAGAAAAAGGAGGCTTTTCCTTTCTAAGGGTGGAATCAAAAAAAATCCAAGGGACTTTCTTTTTGAGGAAAAGCCGGGGGAAGTTTACTAACTACTCAGGCCCAACCGGTTTTTTTTACTGCCTAGGTGGGGGCAAACAAGGAAAACAAATGTTTTTCATTACATTCAATAAGCAACAAATCCTTGGTGAAAACAAAAGTCGGATCCCCATTTTTCCTTATCATTCTCTGTTTCAATCCTAAACTTTACTTGGTTCACATTATCTTAAAATAAAAAAAAAACCCCACAATTTTCTCCCAAGATTTTTGACATTGCTAACAAAAAACACACAAAAAAAACACCCACCTGATGCAACATTTTTACCTGTACACGGGGGAGAGGGGGTGGCATGCGCTGATTCATAGGGGACAGTTGCTGATTTCGCTGGTTTCAGTTTCCTCTCCGCTGTTCAAATTTCCAACCTTCTTTTGACGGGCAGGGCTTTTGGGGGACCATCTCAAAATATGGGTGCACAACCCGTTAATGGGATTTGGGGGGGACACGACCTCGCGTTATTTTTCTCTTGGGAACAAATGACACGAAAAAGGAATTTGCTCTCTAATAATGGGGCTTTGAGGGAAATTCAAATTAAAAATCTTAAACTAAAAAAAATTTAAATAGGGGGGGACCTTTTTTTAAAAAGGTTTCGTTATTGGGTTTTAACCCCAGAATTTAAATGATGAAGGTAGATTGACTACTGATAAAAAAAGTGTTTTTTCGGGGTATCAAAAACATAAAAAAAAATTAAAAAAATAAAAAAAAACTTAAGTATGGGAAAAAAAAAAAATTAAAATAACTCTCGATTCTTTCTTTCCCCAAACCTTCAACGATAAAAATATAAAACCGATAATGGGTTCACGTTCTTAAAAATCCAGTCATTTTTTACACAATACAAAAAAAAAACTGAATCTTTTTGCCCCAATAATTGGGGGCGGAACAAGTAGTTGTCCAAGGGTTTGGTAAAGAAGGCAATTGGGCTTTCGGCCCTGAAGGTCCGGTGGGTTGTATTTTCCCACCTCGGGACCCCTTTTCCTCCAACCCGGGACTCCCACTGATTTTGGGAATGCTTTGGCGTAGTTTATGGTCCTTTGGGGCCAAGACACTTAAAACCCATTGCCAAAAGGCCCCACTGAAAGGATTTCCAAAGGGGGGCTATGTCCCAACACTCAGAGAGCAAAAGGGGGCGTTTATCCTGTGGGGGACTCACCAACCTGCAGAGGGGGTCCAGTGAGGGGGGGGGTGTTGCTATGGGGGGGGGAGGGGGGGGTGGAACTTGGGGTGGCAATCTCTGATTGCCCACCCCCCTGGGGACCCCCAAGGAAAAATGATTAACTGGTTTAGGGGAAAAATGCGATGGATGAGATTGGATTGGATCTTGCCCAATATTTTTTCCCTTTTTAACAAGGGCATTATAAGATGGAGAACAGTGTAGGGGGATCAAAAATAGCCAAGGCTTATTTTTTTGTTAAAAGTTTTTTGCGTTTACAACCAACATTCTTTGGCTTAAAAAACCGTTGCCCACAAAAAATCATACCATTAAACATTTAAAAACAAAAAATTCAGTAAAACAAGAAAAGAAAACCACTTGAAAAGGGGACATTAGAAGGAGGGTTCTTTTAAGGTTGGAGGTGTGGGAACCACTATCGGGGAACAGGGGGGGGGGGGACTTCCCGGGTTCAAGGATAAAATTCTTAATCAGGATTTTTATGGGAGGGGTTTTAAGAAGGTGATCCAGTTTGTAACCATTGTAATTGTTGTTTGGGATTGTTAGGCAAAATTTGTGTTGGTGGGGCGCTAAGGTATGGTAAAGCCGTTTTCCGCCCATGTAAAAACAAAAAAAAAAAAAATGGGGCCTACCAGGAAAAAGTTAAAATTTTTCGACTTTTAAAAAAACTCAAAATTTTTCGGACTTTCAAAAGTCACTAAATTTTTACGTTGGTTTTTCAACAACTTGCAAACATTGCGGCAATTCGGTTATGTTATTTTGTTTGGGTTTCTGGGAACGGTCTTGGGTATCCTATTTATTAGGGGATCCATTGACCATGGGGTTCAATCCCTTCTTTTACCTGCAAAAGGACATTGTTGGAAGGGATATTTGGCCTTACAGGGAACAGTGGGACCACCATCCATTGGGAAAAGTAGCCAGGCAAATAATGTTTGTTGGTATAAAAAATTGCGTTTAAAAATGGCATTTTTACGGGTGTCTCTTCGTTTGTGATTTATAATCCGCTTCAGAAAACTCTAATTTTAGTTTATTCTAAAACGGGGACTGTGGGGAAGATTAATTTTAAAAAAAAAAAAACCACCATTTTTGCGGCTGGGTCAAAAGGGTATTTTTGGAAGCAATCAAAAAAAAATCTTGGTGAACATTTTTCTGGTTTTTCAGTTATCCCAACGGCTATCGAGGGATTTTTTGCACCGGGGGAAAAATTGGGCCAGTGAAGGGATATTGGTGGATGGGGGACAGGAGAGGGGGGGGGGGGGGGGGGGGGGGGGGGGGGGGACCATTCGCAATGGGGATGGGGGAACAGTTTGGGAGGTAGGTCCCGGCAGGGGGGGGGGACAGGGGGAAGGGGCAGGGGAGATACCCAACCATGTTCCATTTGGGCACTTTGGACAATAATAAACCTTTTGGGAAATTTGCGATCAGTGCATTGGAAAGAGTATGGGTTTGACGGTGGTTTTGTTTTGGCACGCGGGCCGAAAAAAAACGGTGGATGGGCGGCGCTCTGGGGGGGTGAGGATGATGGCGCGAGGCGTTCTGGCGGGTAAAGTTGTTGGGCGTATGAGCACAAGTACAAACACAACAAGGAGATAAGATAAATCTAAGGGGGGAAACAAGGTTGCATTGGTTTTGATTTTTTTATTGTTGAACAAAAAAAAAAAAAAAGAAACTCTTTTTAGCAAAAACATTCCGGAGATATGGAGAAAAATTACTCCGCAGATAACCGTTGAAGGGGTCTTTGAAAAGGGAGTTTAAAAAAACCATTTAAGGGATGCATGAAATAAAACAAAACCTCCCATACTCAAAACACGTTAAGAAAGGCGCATTACCTTTTCAGGCCTTTTGGAAAAATACTCGCTTCCGTGTGGGGACCCCTCTCCAAGCGGTTTTCCCTGTCTGTTCCGGGAGGGTGGGGGTCTTAAGCAAGATAGGATTTTGGAAATGTCTCGGGGATGGTCATTTTTCCTTTGAATTTATCTATAAATAAAAACAATATTGGCTACACATTTTTTTGTTATTATTGTCAAAAAAACTAAGGAAAAGTCGGGCTTTGGGGGGGGAGTTAAATGTTGTTATTATGAAAATTGATTTTAAAAACATAAAATAAAAATAAAAAAGGACTTTACTCCTCCCTGCGTCCTACAAAAAAAAACCGCGGGGTTCTGGGGCTTTAAAAAACAGGAAAAAAAGTTTTTACAGAAATCAATCCAAAAACCAAAAAACCATTTATTTTTTTCTGGGCTTACTTCATGGATGCAGGTGGGTGCAC